CAAGAACATAAAAAATTATAACACAGGTGTAATTTTTGCTGGGCTGAATATGCTACCCATATTCATCTTAATGGGACCTCTAGAAGACCCATTGTTCTGCAGGATTGGCATATCAGAAAGATTATTGGGTTCCAGGCTACCACCCATTGCCTCTGAAAGGTAGAGGATGTGCATGCATTGGTAACGCATAGCTTTGTTATCCAGCACCTACGGGGAATGGAGGGTGCCAGATAACAAAATATGCCAGGTAACTGAGTGGCCCAAACATGCCTCTTTGCCTGTTCAGGCTGCCGCCTGTCCTGCCGTGTCTGGGGTGTCGCCGCTGCTCCTGTGGGACCCGTGGGACAGGGAGTGGGGACCAGTGCAGACTGCTATGCCCTGGGCTGTGGGAGCTTGGCAGCACAGGCTGCTTTCCCCCGGGCCATGGGAATCTGCAAAACCGGAAGTGCCATGGTGGACACTTCTGGTTTTATTTTTCCCTTACAAGCCCTTACAAGTCAGCATGCTGGTTAACAGAGCTGCCACCTAATGTCCCATGCAGCTGCCTCTTGCAGGGAGTGGGGTGGGGGAGCCGAGGCCTCCCACCCCCTGTCTGGTCCTTGGCATGACCAGCTGGGAGCGGGCTGAGGGCAGTGCTGCTGGCCTCGGCTCCCCCACCCTCTGTCTGGTCTTCAGCGTGGCTTTGGAATCATGGCGGTGCTCCCCCACGCTTGGAGCACTCTGACTGCTGTTTCCGTCAGCCAATCAGAGTGCAAATAAAGTGTTACAGACAGACAGACTTAGGCTTCTATAATACTAGAGTAATGTTTCAGAGTGTTTGACAAATGTAGTAGAGAAAATGATGTTCAAAAAAGTTCTGCATAATATTTGATTTATAGTAGCCTGTAGAAATTAAATACAATCTATAAAAAGCAAAATACAGGGTTAATACTGTCTGCTTAAAGAACTTATATACCCAGTGTATGAAATGCAACATAGATTAATGACTAAAAGCAATTACTTGATTTTTCTTGTAGTGTTTATACATCCAAATGATCAATTAAAAGAAACTTAGATAGGGAAAAGGTAAAAATGAAGAAAAAGCATCACCTGTAGATTCATCAGGTGTCCATGGAAGACTACGAGCTGGCTTTTCAGAGGTTGGTCCCGAGGTAGTGATCATTCTCACACTAGGACTAGAAGACCTACTGCTGTTTCTACTCTCCTATAAAAGAAAGAAAAAGAATAATTTGATTAAAAAGCCTTGCTATATTCTTACATGACACTGAAAAGAAAAATCAAGGGAAGACCAGTTCAAAAACCTACTTCACAAACCAAAGTTAAGTGACTTGATGTGAGGAAACGTGAGCTTTCATTTCTATAGTGCCTTTTATTCTGAAATATTTTATTAACTTTATGAGCATGTGTAAAGAAAAAAGTCATCCTCATTTAAAACTTAATCCTTTAAGTAGAATATTGAATAAAAATACCAGCAAGTGGTCTTTCACTTCAACTTGTAGAAATAAAAAAGATGAAGTTATACCACGTTAAAGAACTATAGAATTCAGAGCATAACATTATGACTGTAGAGAACAACTTTCACAATATATTTAGAAGCTGCATCAACTGAAACACCTTAACTTCATTTGATTAGAAAAATGTATACTACGAAATCCAGTTCATTTCAGTGTTTGAGTGTTAAGAAATTCAGCAACTTCAGACAGCTGGAAACATTCCTAAAGTTGCAATCATGTGTAAGAATGTATCTAAAGTTATCAAGGTGACATAGTTCATCTTTAAAAAATTTGAGAAACAGATTAAATTAAAAAATGAAGGGAAAATGAATAATAAACATTTTTTGTACACATTTCCCCATTTCTTCCAAAAAGTGACCTTTTTCCCCTTAAGATGCTGAGAGACGGCCTTAAGCCATCCATGTACTTCTCAAAGCACAGTCTTCAAGATGGATTCTAGCTTCCTTTTGAGACTACCTCTTATGAGATACTGAATATGAAAGATTTAAAATAAGATATATAACCTTTATTAAATAAATGATGACAGTACCTCACTACCCATTTTTTGAAAGAAAAATTAAACTGAAATTGTAAGTAAATCAAATGATGTCGCTCAAAATTCTGTTATTTTTGGGGCTATGAATTTATTTTAATTACGTGTCTTTAAATATTTAAATTTCCTATGGTTTAAATTCAAAAGTATATATTACTTTGAAACTGGACTTAATTATGCAACTAGTTTCCAAATGTATCATACTAGTTTTAGGGTTACAAGTATATTTATGTCAGTCAAGTCAAAATGCAAAGAGTAACAAGTTTTTACACTTGAAGGATCTGTTAGTCCAAAGTACAATATGCTTCTCCCATTCATTGCTGGAGTTTAAGGTAAGAGGCAAACACCAGAGATCCTGGAAGCACTGTCATCGAGTCTCACTGCCCCGCACTCCCCTTCTGTGCTGGGTCCTGCCCACTGGACTGCAGACGCAGATCTTCCCTGTGCTAATCCTGGCCAGGCTGCAGCCCCACACCCGCTGTCGGCACACAAATCAGGGGGCCACGTCCCCCCCCCCCCCCCCCCCCCCCGGGG